GAGCCGGGCATGGTGGCGTACACCTGTAGTCCCAGGACTTGGGAGGCAGAGGCAGGCAGATCTCTGTGAGTTCAAGGCCAGCCTGGTCTACATAGTGAGTTCCAGGACAGCTGGGGCTACAGGGAGACCGTGCTTCAAAAAGACAATGACAACAACAAAAAACAGGCACTATCATTTATATTCAAAAGGCTTGTACCTAGAAAAGCAACAACAAATGAAACCCAAACCCAGCAGACAAGAAGAAATAACAAAAATCAGGGAAGAAATTAATGAAATAGAAACAAAGAAAACAATAAAAGAATCAATGAATCTAAGAGTGGGTTCTTTGAAAAGCTAAAGAAGATAGACAGATCCTTAGCCGCCAGTTAACCAAAAGAAAGAAAGCAAATCCAAATCAACAAAATCATAGATGAAAGGGGAAACATCACAACAGATACCTAAAAGATCCAGGCCATTATAATGGGATATTTTTAAAACTTGTGCGCTACTAAATCTGAAAATCTAAAAGAAATGGATGGATATCTGAAATCATGGGAACCATCAAAGTTAAACCAAGAAGAGATCAACAGTTTAAACAGACCCATAATATATAAGGAAATTGAAATAGCCTCCCAACTAAAAAAACCCTAGGCCCAGATGGATTTACAGCAGAATTTTAAAAGACATTTTAAGAAGACTTCCAACTAATACTACTTAAATTATTCAAAATGATAGAAACAGAGGGAGAACTCCCAAATTCCTTCTATGAAGCCAGCATCACGCTAATACCCAAAGCAGGTAAAGACACAACCAAAAAAGAAAAATATAGCCGGGCAGGGTGGCTCATGCCTTTAACCCCAGCACTCGGGAGGCAGAGGCAAGGCAGATCTCTGTGAGTTCAAGGCCAGCCTGGTCTACATAGTGAGTTCCAGGACAGCTGGGGCTATAGGGAGACCCTGTCTCAAAAAGACAAAAAAAGAAAAAAAGAAAACTATAGACTTGCAAACCATATGCAGACACATTTCAAAAAGATCATTCACCATGATCAAGTAGGCTCTATCTCAGAGATGCAGGGATGGTTCAATATACTCATCAATAAACATCATTAATCATATAAATGGGCTCAAAGACAAAAACCACATTGTCATCTCAATAGATTCAGAGAATGCCTTTGACAAAATTCAACATGCATTTATGTTCCAAGTCCTAGAGGGAATTGGACCAGAGGGAATATACCTCAACATAAATAAAGCTATATGCAACAAACCCATAGCCAACATCATTCTAAATGGAGAAAAACTGGAAGCATTCCCATTAAAATCAGGAACCAGACAAGGATGCCCACTATCTCCACTCCTTTTCAACATGGTGCTTGAAACTCTTGCTAGAGCAATAAGACAGGAGAAGGAAACTGACGGGGTAATAATTGGAAAAGAGGTCAAACTATCACTTTTTACAGATGATATGATATGATACTATACCTAAAAGATCCCAAAAGTTCCGCCAGAAAAACTCTTAGAACTGATCAACACTTCCAGTATAGTGGCAGGTTATAAAATCAATCTACAAAAATCAGTACCTGGGGCTGGAGAGATAGCTCAGTGGTTAAGAGCACTGATTGCACTTGCATAAGACCCAGGTTCAATTTTCAGCACCCACATGGTGCCTAAACACCATCCATAACTCCAGTTCCGGGAGAATCCAATGCCTTCTTTTGACCTCTGCGGGCATTGCACTACTCGGGTGAACTTACACAAATGCAGGTGATACACTCATACACATAAAATAAAAATAACAAATAATTTTTTTGTCTTTTTGAGACCGGGTCTCCCTGTAGTCCCAGCTGTCTTGGAACTCACTATGTAGACCAGGCAGAGATTGCCTGCCTCTGCCTCCTGAGTGCTGGGATTAAAGGTGTGCACCACCATGCCCAGTTGGTACTGATTTTTTTAAAAAATATTTTATGCCAGGCTCGTGCGACCCCTGAGCAACAGATCCTCAAATGACCTTAAGTGTAAAAATAAATTGATTTATTTGGGCCAACTGTATGGTCTTAAGCACCCAAAAGGAAAGTATAACCAAAGAATAAAATCATCAGTATGTTTCTTTAAGAGTTCAAGGGATTACACTTCCCAGGCATTACGCTTAAGTCTATGTGCTGGATAGCTTTAGTGTCAACTTGACACACCTGGGTTGAGGGAGCCTCAATCGGGGAATTGCCTCTATTGGACTGGCCTGTGACCATGTCTGAAGGGCATCTTCTTGATGAGTGATGTGGGAGGGCGCAGCTCACTGTGGGTGGTGCCACCCCTGGGCAGGTGGGCCTGTGTTGCATAAGAAAGCAGGCTGAGCAGGAGCCGAGGGAGCAAGCCAGTAAGCAGCTTTCCTCTGTGGCCTGTGCTCCTGCCTCCAAGTTCCTGCCCTGAGTTCCTACTTTGGGCTCCCTGATGAACTGCATGTGACCTGGGAGATATAAGACAAATAAACCCTTTCCTCCCCAAGTTGGTACTGGTCAGAGTGTTTTGTCACAGCAATGAAGAACAAACTAAGACAGTCTATATAAAAATAGATTTGTTTACATGTTCCAAATATACACAAAATAGTTTATAGAGTACAGATAACTGTAAGTACAGGGGGAAACACAGTCAATGTCATTTTTATTTTAATATTTGTTGCCCTAATCTGTTATATTTGCTCCATTAGGCCAAGCAATACTCTTGGTCATTTTAAGTCTAGTCATCCTATTAGATGTCACACACAAATGTTATGTCAGACACAGAGGACAAAAGAAAAGTAAGATCCAGATCATGCTGGCTAATAGCTTTGATGTGATCCAGGCTTTTCTTTCTTATTGGCTCTCCCAGTTAGCTATTCCTCTCTCCTGAAGACTGCTATCTCACCTACAACTGAGCCTCATCTACATCGGATTCTAGGAATGAGCCTTCCTAAGACGTCCTGTGAATAAATAGTATGTGGCCCTTGGGTGCACAAAATGTGATGTTTGGCCAACAGGGGGAACTGTGAAAGAAAAGTTCCCCAAAAGAACTCCTACACCTTGGACTGAACTTCCTGCAAGGCTGACCAGCTGATTATCACTCTGGAGACTGTGGAGAGTTTGGAATGTTGCAGGTCCAGAGTCTACCATTTGTCTCGGGCCATCTTTAGCCCCCTAAACAGCCACTCCTTACCCACCTCTGTTTCTGATCTAACATCCCGTGACTAACAGATAAAAAACCTTTTAGAATGTATTATTCCTAGCAGATCACCCAGTCTCACCAATCGCTTTGCTGTGACCCGCCTACTGAATGTATCCTCCAATGTATTTGAAAAGTGTCTTGATTTATGACTTTTCTTTGTTCTGTTACTGTGAAAATGTAAGACAACTGTTACCACACTGGAACATGGAATTTGGGGTAACCTGAATCTGTGTCCCTAGGCCATGGTCACTCATATTTGGCTCCAGCCTGGTCTACATAGTGAGTTCCAGGTCCACTGGGGCTCAAAAAGACCAAAAGATTAAAATAAATAAACATTATTTTTATTTTATATGTAAGTGCACCCATATCATTCAATGCCCATGGAAGTCAGAATGGAGCGCCAGATCTCCCCCGGAACTGGACCTATGGATGGTTGATTAGATGTCGTGTCAGTGCTGAGAACTAAACCCAGGTCCTCTGCAAGTGCAGTCAGTGCTCTCAACCACCTCTGCAGTCCCAATTCTTGCCTCTTCCACGGCCCTATACTCACTTTTAGTTTCTGTGCTGGATAGCTTTAGTTGTCAACTTGACACACCGAGGTAGAGGAAGGAAATTCCTCATTTGGGGAATTTCCTCCATTGGACTGACCTGTGACCATGTTTGTGGGACAGATTCTTGATTGCTGAGGAATGCCCACTTTGGAAAGTGCTACCCCTGGGCAGGTGGTCCTGTATTGTGTAAGAAAGCAGGTTAACCATGGGCCAGACAATCTGTACTCCAGGTTCCTGCCCTGGGTTCCTGCCTTGACTTCCCTTGATGATGGACTGTGTTTGTAAGCCACATAAGCCACATAAATAAAGAAACACAGCAGTATGAAAACAAACTACAACCATTTCCACCACATCTTTTTCAGGTTTTTCAAACACCTTCCACTTTCAAAGCTTTTCCACAAGCTGTTAGATATGGAGTGCTGTTCCCACCTCACCTCCTTTAACTAATTAATCTCTATTCATCCTTTAGATCTCAGCTCATTAAATAAGTAGGAAAATCCTGCTACACTTCTTCCAACTGTACCTCAAGTAGACTACAGGGACCTGCATGTCTTATTGTGCCTAATCCAGAAGCATTCAAAAATTTTAGTGAATTAATGAATGGCTTCTCTGGAAAACTTCCTGTATGGCCAGAGTTTAGAGCCAGTTTTGTTATTTGCCAAAATCCTTCTTAAAACTATTTATTAGTGAACTCTGATGGGACTATAAGGGACATGTTTTGGGGCTTGACCCTGCTTCCTTCAGATAGACTATGCTCAGTCACTATAAAGGAAAACAAAAGCCCATTTCCAGATTCTGCAATGAGAACCCTAAACTTCTGATAATACATTTCTAGGGGATTCTTTATATTCTTAAACTTAGGCACTACTAAGGCAGAGAGGAGTGAAAACTTAAGACCCACACTCTCCTTAAACCCAGGTCAATCAGTGCCAGGATCCCAACACCAAGCAATTTGTGGAATTCTTGATAACGTGCAAGGGACACACATAGTGCTAAAAAAAAAAAAAAAAAAAAAAAAACGTGGCACTACCTGAATTCAGCTGCTTGCAAGGCACTCTAAAGCACTCTAAATCTTTAATCATAACACACTGGGGGAGGCAGGTAAATCTTTGTGACATCAAGGCCAGTCTGGTCTACATGGTGAGTTCCAGGTCAACCAGAGCTACATAATGAGACCCTGCCTCAAAACAAAATAAACGACAAGATCAGGAGTGGGCTTCAAGGGAGGTCACAGCTAGCTGTCCCTGAGAATAACAAGTTCCAACCGAAGGCCTGACCAGACAATCAAACAGTGGTATTTATTGTACCAATGGCTTTACTGACCCCTCTTTCTGGGGTGTGCAGGTAATACGTCTCTGCAGGGAATCTGAGAAGCTATGGTCTCAGTATGGGTCATTAAAAGGGTACAGAGGGTGTCCTGTATCTCTTGGGACCCTTTTTCCATCCACCTGAAAATAGAAAGAATTAGATGACTCCATTAGCAAGAACTGACATTCCAAAGACCCAGGGCATTTCCCCCAGCATTTTAGAATTCGTTACTTTTCTAATTTTTTAAATTTTATGTATTTATTTATTGGTCTTTTTGAGCAGGGTCTCCCAGTAGCCCCAGCTGGCCTGGAACTCTCTATGTAAATCAGGCTGGTCTCAGACTCACAGAGGTCCTCCTGCCTCTGCCTGAGTCTGGGATTAAAAGCATGCGCCACCATGCCAGGCTATTGTTTTCAATTTTATTGTATGTATATGAGTGTTTTGTCTGCATGTATACAAGTGCACCTGGGTTGTACAATATCTGCAGAGGTCAGAAGGGGATATCAAATCCCTGGGAACTGGTATTAAGGACGGTTGTTAGCCTCCATGTGGGTGTTAAGAACAAAACCAAGATCCTCTTAACCACTGAGCCATCTCTCCAGTCCCTTCCCCCAAATTATTTAGTTATTTTTATTATTATTTTTTGAGACAGGGTCTCCCTGTAGCCCCAGCTGCCTGGAACTCACAAAGAACCTCCTGCCTCTGCCTCCCAAGTGCTGGGACTAAATGCTTGTACCACCACGTGGGGTTCCTTCCCCCAACTTTTATGAAGAACTTTTGGCTAGTTTTTCACTATACCAGGTGGCATGAGCAGGAACCACAGCATTAACATCATTACAGCATCAAATCCACAGCCTGGTACATACCTGATCCTGCCTGGAAGACTTTGTAGTCTTTACTGGGACAACTTGTGCCCAGAATCTATTTATTTCCCTATAAGCAGTAGACTTCAACAAGGTCAAGAATGCCATCTGGGCTCCTCTCTATTCTTCCTGATTTTTCCTTCTAGAGAGCGCTCTCCTCTCTGTACCTACTGCCCCTTTAATAAATTCCTTGCATAACTTCAGACTTATGCCTGAGTGTCTTTTTTGTTGAAGACCCCAGCCTGGTGGGCTTGGGGGGGCGTTCAACAAGTGGCGCCCAACACGGGGCTTGAAGACCCCTGACATCAGGCTGTCTGAACCAGATTTTTTGAGGAAAAAGTGTTTTTTGGGTGAGTATGCTTTGTTAGGTAAGTATGTCATTTTTCCTTTCTTCCCTGCAGTATATTTATTATAGTAATAGGTTGCACAGTGCAGGGTGTGCTTTAGGGGCTCACAGTATGGGATTTTTAGTTAAAGTAGGGGACAGAGTCAGGAAAGATGTAGGCATGGGGTCTCAGACAGGAGAAACAGTTTCACTTAGGGCTGCCTGGACATTTGGTAAAGTGTGTGTTAAATGCTGTCCAAGGAAAGTGCTTCTAAGCCAGCTTTTTCATACAGCCAGAAGGACAATTAATCTTCATAAAAGTTCTGAGGAGGTGAAGCGTAAAGTCTCAGAGCAAGTTTGCAGAGTTTTTTATTCAGAATTTCCTCCTCCTTGCCTGGCTCCTAGTGTTCAGAAGACAGTAAGAAGGCAGACTCAGACGGCTAACTTTAAATTCAGGTGTAGGAAGCCCGCTGTCTCCTGTGTGCAGTTTTAACTCAATGCTGTACATGTAGTATAGGGCTCTAAATGTGAGAAGCTGACTCGGGGCAGAAACTGGTCCTTTCTGTTCAGACTCATGCTAGTTCTCTCAGACGTTCAGACTGATCCTCTGACACTGTGAAAGGAACTGAGAGCAGCTTGCATGTTTTAGTGCCTTGGCATGCAAGGATTTTTCTTCGGCTGAATAAAGGCTTCCACCTCAGGGGTCAGTCTCCACAGGGCCCTAAATAGGGTAACCCAACCCAGATTAGTCGTACGAGACAACCTGTGGATACGGGTGAGGAATACAATTCCGCTGCGATTAATCTGGAGAGAGGAACAGTATGAGGGCTGTTCAGGACGCTGACCAGGGCCATCCGCAGCGATGCTTTGGGATGTAAAACTGGCAGGCCCACGCAATGTCGACACTGTGCCTTTGCAGATCTGCGTTGGGTACCATTCCCAACATATTACAACATATTTTATTACAATGTGCACATATTTTATTACAATTTGGCTTAATGGTACCATTTACTAAATTCCCTCAGATTGAGCTTGGCACGGCTCAGGGTCATTGATGTATGAGAAGTGGATATGAGATGTGAATAATGGCAGTTTGTGGAACTTGTTTTTCTGTTTCTTTGCCCGGTAGCACAGGTCGGGTAGCTCAGGTATGAGAGGTGGCATCCTGAGCACTCTGAGCAGGTAATTTAAGCCGAGATTGCTTGTGAGGAGAACTTTACGTAGGTGGCTTGTGGCAGAGGCCGCTTGCGCTGTGTCTTGGAGCTTTACATGTGATTTGTGGCAGAAGCTGAGTCTTTTTTGGCACTGGTGCCAGGCCTTCTTTGGCTGGTACGTGACTGCTTGAAGTTGTGGCCCAACATGATGCAGTTGCGTGCCGCCGGAGAGGTTTGGACTCAAACACCAGCTGCCGGAGAGGTTCTAGTTTCGCCGGGAGCTACAGGTACTAATGAACAGGTGATTTATGGTAGAAATCACTCATGATGAGCTCTTGAATCTATTTTCCTCTATTTCAAGTTCCGTGATTTTACAAAAAGACATCTCTAACAATAATTTTGCAAAAAAGAGCTCCATAATTTTACAAAAGACGTCTAGAACAACATCGTGCACACTGTAAAAATTATACATTCGGTTTACTGATATCAGTCATAAAGTAAAATTTTCTATATGAATTTGTTCTACTTTACAACGTTCAGTTTGTTTGTTTGGTTGGTTACCTAGTGTACATGGTTGTGTTTGATAATGTTGCCTTGACAACCTAGTGTGTTGCTCTGTTGCCCTTGGTTGTCTTGGTTGCCCACGTAACCCCTGGACCTTCCTTGGATGGTGTGTGGCTGCTTGAAGCTGCGGCCCAGCGTGATGTGGCCGCGTGCCACCGGGGGGGTTTTTGGGGTGGGCCACCGGGTTGCCAGGTTGGTGGCTGTTGTTGGCATATGGGTTTCTGTCATGGCTTTGTAGAGGGTTCCTAATATACAATATCAAAATGGTTAGATCCGCTATTAAGAAAGTAGAAGTAACTCAAATGACTATCAATAAAAGTACAAATAATGAAATACTAGTACATATACAAAATATACTACCATAAAAGTCAGTCTTGTGATATTTGATATTGACCTTATTGTGTTCAGCAACAACTACATGGAATTATAAGAGGCTTATGTCTTTTCTGCTAAAGTTTTACTTCCATGCTTTGAAGCCATATCAACTTTAATCCAGCTCATCAGGTCTGACTCCATTAAATATTTTGGGCATGCCCTAACTAATTATGGATAAACATTATTCTAAGCATAAATTTGTGCAGTTTTGTCAAACCACTGATCTTGTATTTCATAACGGCACATGCACAGTTCCCTTATCACATGCCTTAATAATTTTCACAAATGGGTCAGCATGGTTTTCTTTTCGTACAACATACAACAAAGTCTGAAGTCAAAAGTCAGAATTCGGACCTCGGGCCTTCCTTGGTTGACGCGCTGCTGCTTGAAGCTGTGGCCCAGCATGATGCAGTCACGTGCTGCCAAGGAGGTTTGAACTCTGTCCGAATTCAGAACTCGATGCTGCTGCTAATTTTATGTATATTCTGTCTAACAGTAAAGTACATGAATTATTCACCCAAATACATTCTTCTATTATTGGAAGCGTGTTGTCTTTTGCCAAAGATTTATGTGTTGTTTTTGACAAGACTTGAATATCTTGGTAACACTATTTGGGGTTTTGTAGCACATGGTCTTTGGGATGGAGGCTCGGTTGCTTGAAGCTGTGGTCCAGCATGATGCAGCTGTGCCCCATCTTGCGGCTATTGTGTCATGGACTCTATGTCTGCATCAGGGGGGAGTCCTATCTCTCTCTTGTTCAGTCAAGTGTTGCCTTGTTTGTTGAATGCTTACCGCTTTGCTCAACAAGATTACACCTTTATTAATGACTTTTAATTGACTAAGATTCTTAAGTTTGCTTCCTATTACCTCTTCCTTTCAGGACAGTATATACAAGATTTGTAAAGCCAAAAATGTATCAAATGAACATCTGCAGTATATGATAAAGTGTTTGCTTTACTGGTACAAGAAACATTTCCAGCAATTCTGTTGCTGAGTTTGCTGCTGCAATTGCCTTTCTGTTGTTCCTCTCCTTTTTCGTTATGCCTGGTCTGCGTTCATGATTGTCGGTGCTCCTATGCATGAGGCGGAACGTAGTCACTTGAAACTGTGGCCCAGTATGATGTGGCTGCGCCGTCCTGCATTTCTGCTACTGACTGCCATGAGTGTTTTCTAAGGTATGACATTTTCTTTACTTCTTGTCTTGTGTCCCTAATACTCCCATTACAGCGGATTGTACAATGAGCAATCAGCTGCTCTCTTTTTTAGGTATAAGTGACAGTTAACGTATGTTTTTCAGGACCTAGATTTGCTGTTGTGTTATATGTTTCCATGGATACTCAATCCCACCTTGTCATTTGTTCCCGTGATGACCTATTGTGTATGTTTCTGTCATCCTTGACTACCTGTTCTAGACTTAGGAACAGAGTAATGTCCATTTTTTGTTTGTTATATGTCACCTTGGAAAGCTACTCAATACATACGTACTTCTTTTGCTCCACAGGACCCTGTCACCACAAACTTTGGAAAACACTCAAGAACACACCTCAACCTGTGCTTTCCACCCTTGCCAACAACTTATAATTTCTATTCACTTTAACGGATTTTTCTCCTGCTTCAGTTTTTCTTTCCCCAGGACTATGGGCTGGCTTAAGCATATACTTCAAAAACATGGTGTGATATACAGCTCACACGCTCTAAATTCTCATTCGAGATTACTGTACAATGGCCGAGCGTGATATTGTGACTTGTCCTGCTCAGTCTTCTACAGGTTCTACAACCAAAAAGGTCCACAAGTTGTGTGATGATGTGCAAGACCACCCTAAAGAGTCCTCTAAATCCTCTACTGAGGCTACTGCTTTGCAATCACAGGCTCAGTTGTCGTCCTCTATAATACAAATACAACCTGAAAAGAACATCCAGTTAAGGCCTACACCAATTCATACGCAGGTCTGTATGCCTTCTACTGCACCTGCCCTGTCTCCATTACAAAAGATAGTGTGGCAGGCCACTGCTACAGGTGCAGATGTGTCAGGCTTCATGTCACTCATAAAACCCCATGATAGTCAGAGTACTAGAGATACTCTGTTTCAATTCGAAGCCTTGCAAACTTTTAAATCTGCTTGTCTGCAACAACGCTGTGTTGGATTCCCTGCCTACTAATCAGTTGCCTCCTAATGATTAAAAAACACCAACAAAAACTTGTTTGTCCACAAAAGACTATTTCATATGGAAGTCGCATTTTAACAAATTCTGTCTGGCTACAGTTGACCTAAATTAACATCTCCATATTCCAGTTACCTTTGATATGCTTGCAGGAAAAGGCCAATAAGGAAACGGCACAACAAGTAAATTTCCCAAATGCCATATATGCTCGAGCTACTGTTGCAGCAAAAACAAGCCTGACATACACTGCCTCCTACAGGATGGCACACTAAGGACCACACTAAGATCACACAGGGCCCTAATGAGTCCTAACAAGACTTTGTGTCTAGGTTATTTATTGGCTGTCAGGCGAACACTCGGCTTGTAACACGCTTAGCGTACAACACCACAAATACTGCCTGTCAGGCAGTCCTAAAAGCATATAGGAAAAAAGGATCTTTGTCAGATTATATCAAATATTGTTCTAACATTGCCTCAGCTCATGACATATGCCACTACTATCAGTGTGCCAAACCCTATGGTCTTCCTTCACAGATAAAGTAAATGTCTCCAGGTTCACCAGAACAATCTTCTGATATCTTCTTTTAACATGTACGTTTCTTTCCAGTTCAGTCTGTTGTCTATCAAAATTTAGTTATGTCTTTTCTGGGTTTTCCCCTTTGGTGAACATTACTTTCAACACTCGTTACGCCCTATAGCTACACAACTGGATCTAAGAATATTACTCACTTCTGGATAAATGCCTCAAAGAATATACAACACGTTTATGCTCGACTTTCAGTCACCTCTGTTAATGCTTGTTTTCAGCTGGCCATGTCATATTTGTTTCCCATTACCTTACAAACCTACGGTTGTCAAGAACTAGCCTTCAATGCATGTTGTCTCCATGGCAATGAACTCACAATTGAGTTTGTTGTCTGTTACCTTAGTTACTGAGTGTACAGTATATGGTATTCTTCTCTCATGTATGGGTAGACTTTCACTCCTGATGAATTTACTTCCCTACCTTGGTGTATGCCTTCACAATCTATTTCCTTTACAGTTTACGACTTCACTTTAACAACCATTTCTCGCAGCTTCATCTTCGCTCTATTGTTTTTAGGACTACTAGCAGGTATAACTTATTTAGCATCTGCAAACTAATAGTACTATTGTCTCTAGTCATGTCTTCCTCCCATATAAACCTTCTGTTTATCATTATCTATAGTTAGATGTCTGTCAGTACAGCTGAGTCCACTTATTGCCTAATCCTCCTCTTCTCCATAGGTACACCATGGTCACCTAGATCCTGCAATAATGCTTGACTTGATTGACAACTTTTATCTCTGAGTGTGATCTGTTTGAGGTAGTTCCTGTAATACATATTTAGAAATCACTAACTGCTCTTAAGTCTGTGAAACTCTTTACGGAAACTGTTACTCTTACGATATTTTGTGACTTTACTACGGTTGCTAATTTCACTATTTTGGCTTGTGTCCACCTTCCTCTAATGGCTTTCATTGAACATGTGGTCCCTCAGGACATGAACCAAACTTGCCAAACTGGTCATTTGTATACATGTCTTCACAACTCTATAGCCTTTGATCCAGCTTAAGATAAGGTAACGTGGCTACCTGGTAGGTGGCCCGGGTGGGGGTTTGTTTCTGCTTTTTTCACAGGATATCGCCATGATGTGTTCACTTCCGTCGCCTCGCTTCCGCTGCTGTTGCTGTCCTGCTCTTCTCTGCGCCTATGTCATCGCGGCACCATCCATCATTATCTCCACTGTTCTCAAGTTTTCCTGGATCCATTTTTTGGACTCTTTTTGCGTTCCTTGGACTGTTTCCACCGCCTGGCGCCCACCGTTCTCCGTCTCTGAACTTTCACTAGGATGCATCCCTGCCCTATTTGATTGCTTGTGTATCCCTCGTGATTTGTGCACCATTGTGTTGCTCATTTGTGTTGTATTTCTTCCCTTCTGTCCTCCCTTTACCCCTTAGGGCTGTGGGGTCCTTTTTTATTCGTTTGGAGGGGGGACTTAGGCTCTGCCTAACCTCCGCGCAGATAGAATTCACAGCTAATCACAACAACTTCACAAAGCTAATTCGAAATCCAAACCCAACTTCACAAATTACAATTTGGATGCTACAAAATTTGGCCATATGTCAGGTCCAGGCTGTCCTGCAGTTCAATTTTCTCTCTGTGACACTGTGCCTCAGTGGCATTTCCCATTTCTTCCCCAAGGCCGTGGCCATTCACTGGGAGCTTTCAGGAGGCCGGTTAGCCAGAGACGGGTAAGATTCTCTCAGAGGAAAGCGGGACACCAGCCGCCCCCAACAGCTTTCACTCTGGCAGAAGACAACCTAAGACAGGCACAGTCATTCCATCCCAAGTATTGGCATGTACTTCATCTTTAAAAAATATAAAAAGAAAGGGGGAAATGTTGGGAGCCATGCTTGCCATAAGCATTGGAAATTAGGAAGTGTCACTTTAAGAGCTTCTGAGCCCTCTGGCTGTAGCCTGGATACCTGGATACTAAACAAATCTTTCTAGAAAGTTAGTTTCAGTTCAGCCTACGTGCTGTCACTTAGTAACTCTTATGTTTCTGTTGTTAGGATTCACCAAGGTAACCCAAACACTAGACTGTATAAAAAGAGGACCTGAGGGTCCCCTTAAGAGATTCTTCCTGATTTTTCCTTCTAGAGAGCGCTCTCCTCTCTGTACCTACTGCCCCTTTAATAAATTCCTTGCATAACTTCAGACTTATGCCTGAGTGTCTTTTTTGTTGAAGACCCCAGCCTGTTGGGCTTGGGGGGCGTTCGACAGACAGGGTCTCCCTGTAGCCCCAGCTTGCCTGGAACTCACAAAGAACCTCCTGCCTCTGCCTCCCAAGTGCTGGGACTAAATGCTTGTACCACCACGTGGGGTTCCTTCCCCCAACTTTTATGAAGAACTTTTGGCTAGTTTTTCACTATACCAGGTGGCATGAGCAGTGACCAGACCATTAACATCATTACAGCATCAAATCCACAGCCTGGTACATACCTGATCCTGCCTGGAAGACTTTGTAGTCTTTACTGGGACAACTTGTGCCCAGAATCTATTTATTTCCCTATAAGCAGTAGACTTCAACAAGGTCAAGAATGCCATCTGGGCTCCTCTCTTATTATTTTATTGGGTTAATTTGACTGCTTTGGAGAAATTATGTAGGTTCAAGATAATCAAGAAGTAGGTTTATACCAGGCATGGTGGCCTATGCCTTTAATCCTAGCACTTGGCAGGCACAAGCAGGCAGATCCAGGCCAGCCTGGTCTACATCCACAGCGAGTTCCAGGCCAACTGGGGCTACAGAGACACTCTGTCTCAAAACACACACACAAAAAGAATCAAAATTAGGATTCCCAGGTTTTATGAAGTATGCCTAAGGCACAGTAATTTCCTGACCTTGAGAAAAAGGAGACCACTGGAGCAGAGTTTGGTGGCACACAGCTGTCATCTTAGAACTTCAGAGGCTAAGACAAGAGGATAGAGTTCAAGGTAGCCTGAGCTACAAAGTGTAAACCTCTCTGAAAGGAAGGAAAGAGAAAGACTAAAAAAGAGAAGGCACAATGGCACCTTAGAAGGCCGAGGCAGGACAACTGCCAGGAGTTCGAAGCCAGCCTGGGCTACAAAGTTCTAGGCAAGCATGGGAAATCTGGCTCAACAAAGCAAAAAAAGGAAGGAGAGGGAGGAAGGGAAGGAGGAGAGAAGGAAGAGAGGAAAAGAGTACTATATTTGGGGTGGCAATCCCTCCAATATGCTGTCCTTCTTCCAACCAGCAAGCCTGAGGCCAGACCTGGGCCACCCCACCCCATTCCCTGACCCTGAATGGCTACATATCCTTACCGTAATCATGGGCACAATGTAGCGCCAATTTTTGTTCAAGGCATCTAGCTGCTTCATCTCCTCTGGGCTAAAGCTGAAATCAAATACCTGGGAACAGGAAAGACAGCCTTGTGAGTGGTAGCTGGGGTCCCCCAATACTGTCTTCTTGGCCAGCCCAAATCAGGGGCAGAATGTATCTCAATAGACTAAAGAGGACAGAACCCATGACCAAGTACCTGAATGTTCTGAAGGATACGAGAAGGAGTGATACTTTTGGGGATGG